GAAAATAAATACCCACTTTGACCCAACCCCTGTTACGCGCCTGGTGTTAGCGCCAGTGTGTGCCTTGTGCGGACAGTGGATGTGCCCCCCTCTGAAGCTGGAAACCTTGTTTTTGCAAAATAAATTGATGCAATTTGCTATTGTAGGCCTAATCAATAAATTCCTCATCAACCGATATAACCTTGAACATTCTTGGAATTGACATAACATTAATGATGTCGTACACACCCTTCAGTGTGAAATGTGGCTCTCTTTGCAAGCACATCTAACATTTAAGGAAAGAACAGCTTAGATTGGTACCAGATAAAATAATTTTGTTATCAACCTTAATACATTATGCTAATTTTCATCTTTGTAAGCGCATAAGACACTGCAAATTATTTCTGTGACAGTCTTTTGAGTGTGTAAAGCTCCATTTTATCCCATACATAGTCAAAATATTGGGCTGTTCTTGGCAGTGGCATCGAGAGGGGGTCATGGGGGTCGCTGCCCCAGGGCCCGTGTCTACTGGGGGGACTGGACCAAGATGAGAAATTTTCGGGGTAAGAACAAACTCTCCATAGGGCCCAAGCTTAAGCCAGGATGAAAACTTTTGTTCACATGGAATCATATTCATGTATGTTCATTTGGACAAATAGGGTCTTAGGAGGAGACTTAATTTGGGGAGCGGCCGCGTGGGGGTCCCAAGGGGGGCCTATGTGAGGTGTTGCCCCAGGGCCCTTACTGGCTCTCGACGCCACTTGTTCTTGGCGGTGCTCGGGCACCTGCCGCGGGCTATTTTCTCGGAGCATCCACCCCCTTGTGGTGTTTGTACGACTGGAATTGTATTTTAATGTGGTTGTTTTTTATTTCTACGTCTTTATATTTAAGTACATGTTGTGGATTAGTGGTGAGCACTACCTCACTTGCTCTTGCACACAGGTAGTAACAGGTAAGGAATAGAGCCTTGTATAATTTCAACTCGTATGCATTGGTCGTTGTGAGCTGTAGATGTAAGATCAGATTCTGCAAAATCTCTGTGGTTATTGGGAGGAGTGGTTCGCGTTTGTGTGTTGCAACTGAACATTTGTCAGCGCCACAATGTATGATTGCTATTAACGGCGAGGTGGTTGGGTCTGGTAGTTTGTCTTTAATTTTATGCATGAAGGCTATAGAACTGAGGTACAGTATGTTCTGATTGTGAAAAATGGTTTAAAAAGATGGCATACAAAGAGTGAAACATGTTTTGAAGGCATATGTAGGTATATGATGGGTAGTTTTAAAATCATAATGAATAGTTCCCAACATCTTCAGTAAGACTTCCTTGTTCCGGAAGTTATTGATGCTCACTTAAGATTTTTTTGACACCAGGTATGTGCTGCGCAGTTAAATGTATATTTTGTATGAGCAGTAATACCAATGGCCTGATTATGTGCATGACATTTGCATTTGAGTTGGTTTTTCCGTTGATATGATAGACATTTGGCATGTTGTCAGTATGGAATACAACTTGTGTATTTGCCAATTGTGTCGCAAACAGTGATATCATGAGGTCCACAGGGTATAATTCTAATACCATGATATCCAAATTTTTCCAGTTGTCTGGCCATGTACCGTTTCCAACTGGTGTTGAATGTTGCCTCAAATCCTTTTTTTCGATGCGTTGGAATAGAAATGAAGGCAGGCAGAGTCACGTTAGCCACCACTAAAATAAACTAATGAGGCAAATTAAAATTCTAAGGAATAAAAAAGAAAATATTGTACTTTTACTTTTACATACCCTGACTGGATATTTATATATTTCTTATATTTGAAGATATGCTTGCGCTGATATTCAAGGGAGACTGTATACAGGTATGGCATGACGTCTTGTTTACTTTTATTTCATTCTCTATGTTTACCTTCTTGTCATAGAAAGGAGATTCATTCCCCATATTTCCATTCCACAAATTAAAACTTGCTCTAATACAAAAAGGACAATGTTACTTTATTGGTGATTCAGCCATATTATAATGTTTCTTTAATAGCAGCTATTTTACGTCATGCCATATTTACAATCGGCATAAGCATAGCTACCCAGTATTTTCTTAACTTTTAATTACGTCACTACTGTAAATAAGATACTGGAGTGATGACGTCATATTTCACTGCAAGTCCGAACGTTTGTCTTGTTTTATTGTTTTCTTGCACCTGATCTAAATAACCTGAACGGCTGTCATCTGGCATAGCACTTGTTTTCTGGTTCTATTGACCAGCTTTTCAAATGACAGGTGCGTCGGCCCGGTGACTCTGATGCTTGGTTATTCTTGGCTTGAATTAGTGACAGTCACTACGGTATTAAGTTAGTTTAATATTTTCCTAATTCTCCATGTGAACATGTTGTAGGCTCAGCTTTGAGTTCTTATCATTAATCTTTCGCTTTTATTTTTTTATTTTGTTATACTTTGAGATATTGTATATCATTAATATGATCAATTTAAATAATGATGACCATGATGAAAACATCGAAGAAACTAAGCATTACCAGATTGATGATTTCAATCGTAGTTTTAAGTATTCATTCAAAGATGATTATTTCTCTATACTAAGCCTAAACTGTCGCAGTATGGTAAACAAGTTTGATGACATTTTACAATTGATTTCCTCTTTAAATCATAATTTTTCAATTATAGCATTAGAAGAGACATGGATCTTAAACAATTATATTATACATTATATGAAATCCCAAATTTTACGTTTGTTCACAAAGACTGGGTAGGACGTAAAGGTGGCGGACTCGCCTTATACATATCAGATAAACTAAGTTTTGAAATACGTGGTGACCTTCCATTGATATTGTCCAAAGCTGAATCTATATTTATTGACGTTAAAGTACATAATAAGATAATATCATGTGGTGTTGTATATAGACCCCCTGATACAAATGAGCAAACCTTCACTGAACAGTTATCATTAGTTATGCATACAATAAATAATGAAAATAAAATAGCATACATTAGTGGGGACACCAACTTATATATAAGCCAACACATGACAGATAGCAATATAGCTTCTCACCTAGACAATCTTCAATCTCAGTCTTTTTCCTTTCTCATAAACAAACCAATGAGAATCACAGAAACTACTGCTACCATAATAGATAATATATTTTCAAACTCCTATCAAACACATTCCATTAATACTGGAATCATTTATTCAGACATCTCTGATCATTTCCCCATATTTTGTATAGACACATCCGAAAAGCACTACAAAAATAATGACAATAAATATGTATTTATACGTAAAAATACAAAATATAACAATGATTTTTTTAAACATGAACTACAAAAGCAAGAATGGGAAGATGTTTTAAGTTCAAATAACGCAAATCAAGCGTATGGAAACTTCTCTAGATCATTACAAACATTGATTAATCAATGCTTTCCCCTAAAAAAGTGAAACTTAGAGTCAATAAATTACAATCTCCTTGGATGACCGAATCGATTGCAAAGGCAATCCAGACTAAAAACAAGTTATATAGTAAATATCTAAAAAAAATCATCGAATAAAAATAAAATTAAATACACCAGATATAGAAACGTACTTACTAATATAATTAGAAAAAGAAAAAAAGAATATTTTAATAATAAATTCAAAAAAATAAAAATAATCTGAAAAGAAACATGGAAGGCCATTTATCAACTTCTTGGTAGAAGCAAAAAAACCTAACATAACGACTGACGTCATATATCATATTTAGAGGCCGCAATAGTACATTTCAGTTTACTAATGTACAATTATCAATTAATAATTCTGTACTCGAAAGAGTAACTCATATAAAATTTCTAGGAGTTAATCTTGATGAATTTCTATAATTTCATAACCATATTGATGCCATCGCAAATAAAGTCTCAAAGGTAATAGGAATCCTGAACAAATAGAAATATTTTTTACCCTATTCAATTATGTTACAAATATATAAATCCATAATTCTCCCCGACTTAACATACGCAATAGTCGTATGGGGCCCCTTCAATCTAACAAAATTAAACAGGCTTCTCCAAAAGAAAGCACTTTGAATTATATGCAAAGTTCATTTTCATCATCCTTCAAAACCACTATTTTTACAAACTAATACATTAAATATATTTGATCTCTATGAAAAGCATATGGCAATATTCATAATAAACAGCTTCCTATTACCTTTAATACATTTTTTCGCACAATTGAAGATACACATAACTATGGAACCAGAAATAGAAAAAACTTTACCACTGTATTAATGAAAACAAAAATGGGACAAAACAGTATCAGCTATAGAGGCGCCAAAATATGGAATGGCTTAGAACACAATATAAAAAATCTACAAAGTATTAGTTTATTTAAAAGAGGAATACATAACAGACTACTTAACAAATATAGATAAAACTGGTAATCTTTACTTTACTTGGTCGAAATTTTACTTTTCTTTCCCTTGTATTTGTCATATTATTACACTTTTTTTAAGAATCTTGATTTATAAATGAATCGTCTTCTATTATTATCTTTTTATTTTTATTTTGTAGTTATTATTGTTCTTACTTTGTAGGGCATCAAAACTTAAAGCTTGCTTGTAATTGATGCCTTTTCAATCAATCTTTGAATTGAGAATTGTAAAAAAAAATATATATGATAAAAGAAATTGATTGAATAAAAATTTATTGTGAAGAGTAAGAGATTGCATCTCCCTAAGTGTGATATGGTCTGAAAGAGCCCATTATCAACTTCCATCTTATACTTGCTTAGTTTCTCTTGTGGCAGCCTAGCCACCATGGATCTAGTGTCTAGTTCTATGCCTAAAAAGGTCAATTTGGTTGTTGGTTCAACTGTTTTGTCAGGGGAAAGGGGGAGACTGATTGATTTGGCTAAGGCTAGAATGCTGCTTAGAGACTTTTGGCATGTCTGCAGTGTGTCCCCTATGAAGAGGAAGTCATCAAGTACTTTTACTATATTTTTGCAATCCAGTTTTTTAGTTAGAATCCATTTTATCCCATCTGAAAATGGATTCAAAAATTTTACAGGAAGAGCCACACCCTTGGGGTAAGACCTTGTCGTAGTATAATTTTTTGTCCCATGAAAATCCGGTGAGATGGTACTGCGTAGGGTGTAGGGGTATTAGCCTAAATGCATCTTTTATGTCACTTTTTGCAATGTAAGCAGGATAATTAGACTTTTGGATTGCTGTTGAAAAAAAATTTTTTTTGTTGTGGAATATTATGGTTAACAGATCGCTCATCATATGGGTATGAGAGATTATGCAATAGTTTTTAAATGGTGGAGAAACAAATGGTCCCGCAATTCGCCCAATCGCCAGTTCCCTGAGTACCATATTATTGATAATTTCAGGTTTGCTTAGTGCAGTTGAAGAATTTCTAGCTGTGAAACCATTTTCGGGACTTTCATAGTGTAAATGGAACCCATGTTTAAATCCATTGACTAAGTGATCGCTTCCATCATAACTGTTGAGGAGGTTGGCTAGTTTATTTACTGTTATTGGTGTGGGGAGCTGGGAGTCTTTGTTGTAATTTGTATGTATTTGGTGGCGTTAAAATTGTTGATGGGGGATTATACTACGGTTGATGTGCACCTTTCTTGCACAAGAAGTGGGGATGTGGTCGGTAGTCATGACATTTCCAGCACTTGTGGGAATATTTACATTGTTGTGGCCTTAATTGTACACCTGTGTGATCGACAATGATAGATTTGGCAATATCCAATGGGTGTTTGTGTTGCAAAGCGAGGGCGGTAGTAGGTTTTTCTGTTGCATGTGTCATAGGAACGAAAATTGTTTTGGGGACGATAGATGTGCTGTGTCGCCTGTTGCGAATGTGTTAACAGGTTGTGTATAAGGTCACCCCGGATTGTGGCCCAAGAGCATGTGTGTTCCCTAGCTCTTATAAATGCCTCGTTATAAGATCGCCAAGTGTTGGGATTGTTTTTCATCATGAGTTTTATCGGTTTTGCATAGGTAAATATATCTAGCATGTCCCCTGGGTAGAAACTAAGGTAAATAGTAGCAAAGTCATAAAAAACAATGGTCCACTCATGTTCAGATAGCTGGCGCTTTCTGGTCTTTGGCACCATTTGAAGACCGCCATTGTATTGTAAGGTGTATGTATCCCTTTGTTCTGGATTGTTCTAGAAAATCAACATACTTGTGCTCCTTTATCTTTGCCTTAAGTTTGTCTGAGACTAGCACACCAGCCTTGATACCCCAGTGTATCTGAGTGGATTTTCTGCTGCATCGCTTTCAGCTATTGTAAGTGGGAGGACAGTTGTGCTAATCCCCCCATCTAAGTTGCGATTGAAGTTGGCTCAGGGGCCTCTATATAGACTCAGAGGATTGTGTGCTATTTAGTAAGCCTCCTGAGGACGGAAGTGTATCGTCATTTCTGTCACCCTGGATGGGCCGCACTTACTTATGTTATTCACCGCATTAGAAAGGCTGGTTATCATGTTCTGCATTTCATCAAGACGATCTTACTAGTTCTGAGGCCAGGTGATGTTCCTCGTGGAACCAAGATTCGAGAGGTCGAATTACGTCCTCTCTAGTATCAAAATAGAATTGTGTTTGAACACAATTCTCAATTATCTTGTCCATCTCACAACTCAAGTACAGAAATTATAGGTTGTACTCGACTCCTACTTTTGTCATAATCTTTAATCCTTTGTGCCACTTTTTGGGGTCATTAGTGGTAGGGTGGGGGCCTGCAAGAACCTTATTAATATTTCATTCATAAACTTTTTTCATTTTAAAATAAACAGTAGGAATGTTGTATAGTGATGCATGTGCAACATACATTGTCCAAATAATTTCTTGATTTTGATTTTGTGACATCCTGGTGTTTTAGCCTAGTATCATTAAATTAAAAATATAGGTCTTTTTTTTCGGATCTTCGTTTTACAGACACCCATATAGAGCGTCTATAAGACAAAAACCTTTGGTGATCTTTGATATTCTTCATGTTATTTCCATGGAGATGATGATGGGAAACTTGGCAATGGTTTTATAATTATTTCGAAGTGTTTCCAAAAAGGTAATTGAGAAAAAAAATGGAGGTTTCATTTTTCAGGTCTTTGGCCTTCGTTTTGTAAACACTCATATAAGGTGTCTGAAAAACGAAAACCCTTGATAATTTCACAAACAGACGTCCAAATAATCTCGTAAATTTGATTTTGTGATAGTCTGATGTGTTTGTTAAAATTAAAGAGAAAAAATGTGGGTCTTCGTTTTTTGGGTCTTCGGTCTTCGTTTATATAAGGTGCCTATAAAACGAATATCCTTAGTAATCTCTTGATATTCCTCATTTTATTCACATGAAATAATAAAAGAGGTACTTGGCAATAGTTTTATGACGATTTCGAAATACTTTCAATAAGCTGGGTGAGAAATAAACAGAGGTCTTGGTTTTTTATGTCTTCAGTCTTTGTTTTGACAACTATATACAATCATATAGGCTGTCAATTAAATGAAGACACTTGAAAATTTCACATATAGGGTGTCTATAAGTAAAGACACTTGAAAATTTCAGACGTCCAAATATTCTCGTAATTTTTTTTTTGTGACAGACCGGCCTATTATCTATAAAATAAAAGAGAAAAAAAAGGGGTCTTCATTTTTGGGGTCTTCGGTCTTGTTTTTATAGACACCCTATTTGAGTGTTTAAAATTATGTTCCTTTACTTACTACAAACCCCTCCTACAATCCTAAAAATGAGGATCTGGATAAATGAAATGTTAATTCATCGCAGTAAAACTATTAGTTTTATTCCACACAAATTATAATGTGTTTTTTTGGGGTTTTTTTTACTTGTGGATGTATTTTTTTCTAGTGATACTTTAATATACCACTACTTAACACAATGATTAAATTATTTCCCCATAAATTTCAAGAAAAGATTTTAATCCCAACCAAATAGAATTGAAATTATAGCTTCTTGAAGTCTTCCCCTAACATTCTGGAAATTCTATATCCGTTTTTTGGTGAAAAGCAATGTTGATAAACGATACATTTATTTCATAAATTGCTCATTGTGACAAGGCCTGATTAAAATTAATTAAATAACTCTACAGATTCATTAGCTCTTGGAGTTGAAGATGGTACTGTCCATTTGACAGCATCCAGCGAATTCAATAATGATTTGAGGGCTGATCGAGGACGGCTTAACACAGTAGCAGGAGGCTCTGGAGGCTGGGCAGCAGCAACTAATAACCTAAATCAGTGGATTCAAGCCGATCTTGGTGCTATAAAAGGTGTGATTGGAGTAATAACACAGGGGCGCAGTGAAGATGTTCAATGGGTCACATCATACAAAGTAAATTACAGTACCGATGGTAGCAACTACTTACCAGTATTGGGATCGAGTGGCCAAGTTGAGGTATGTTTTTATAATCAATTTATAGATTATGCGACAAGTATCATAAGACGCGGAATGTATGCTTAACGTAATCACATTACTTTTAGAATTTCAGTGCAAACTCTGATTCTAACAGCGAGGTGAAAAACATATTCAACTCTGTTGTCTACGCTCAATTCATCCGTATCAATCCAATTACCTGGCAAAAGCACATCAGTTTAAGATTCGAGCTTCTGGGCACAGGTAAAACTTATCTAAGCATGCAATCATTGCAGTATGGTTTTAGAAATAACATTCAACCTCACATGCTGTAATTGATTTGGTTTATAAAGTATTAAGTGCTTTTGAAAAAAAACAATATGCAATTGCAACATTTATGGTTCTATCAAAAGCATTTGATGTTATAGATCACGGTATTTTATTAAACAAACTGTCTCACTACATTATTCAGAAACTAGCTGAAATCCCGAAAACAGTATGTTTGTATTAATGGCACAGAATCAAGTTTAAGAGAGACAGATATTGGTGTACTACAAGGCTCCCTGCTGGGGCCACTATTGTTTCTCATTTACATAAACGATATTTACAATTAATGTACTGCAATCGATATAATTAGTTTTGCTGATCAACTAGCATCAAATGTGATCTCAAAGTGCTGTGTAACTTAATTAACACTGAATTAGGGAAACTTAATTGGTTTAGGGCTAATAAGCTTCTCTTAAACACTAGCAAAACAAATTATGTTGTGTTTAATAGGCCACCACAAAAACATATTAATCTTGACGAATTGACAATTATATGTCTTATATGTAAACGTTATGCACATATCCAATGTACTTTTGTGTGCTCTGAGTGGTATTGTGTACCATGTAATGCTTCCTTATTTGCATTTAACCATAATCTAGATGATGAGGAATTTTTACATGAAATTAATTATAACTTTAAAAATCAACCTGTCAATTTTGATAAATTAAATCAGCTGAGTATTAACCCTTTTGATTTAGACTATAATGTCCCATCCAGTTGTAGGTACCACCTTAGTGATAGTTTTAATGACTTGGTGTGACACATTGACACAAATTTTAGTTTTATTCACTTTAATGCTCGCAGTCTTACTAAAACTTTTACAGAAATATTTGATTATCTCCAGACTCTAAATCATAACTTTACCATCCTATGCTTCACTGAAACTTGGTTTAATGCCTATACTCCCTATACATTGTATAATATTCCAGGTTACAAACTCATTCATTATGATAGGCCAAACAAGAAAGGTGGTGGTATTGCACTTTATTGTCGTGAGTCGGACAAAGATGTCAATGAGTAGATCATAGACGGAGTACGTTGTTGAGACGTTTATTGGAACACAACGGAAATGTGAACGAAATATACAGTAAAATAAGAACCAAATAAAAGAAAAACCCCTGTAACACAAAGAAACAGAGAATAGAGTAAATGTATCATATGCCTCAGCAATATATCGCATAAAACAATGTCTCAAATTATCTCAATTAATCAGTATAAACTTCTTAATGACATGGCTCTCAAAGTTTTTACCTTGATCTGAATGGATCCGATCCGGCACTCCGTAACATGAAAACCAATAGTCTATCAACATCTTCGCTACGCCCTTAGCTGATTGATCTTTGCTGGGAACAGCAACAGCAAGCTTTGAATATGCGTCAGTCAGCACCAGAACATCTTCGAAACCACCTTTCCCCTTATCCAGCTTAAGAAAATCTATAGCGACAAGTTCAAGAGGTCTAAAGGCTAGTAAGTGGCGTAGAGGTGGTCGAATACTAGGTGATTGTGTCTTACCTACTGCGCATCGGAAACAACTCTTGATGTGTTGCTTGACACTTCTTCTAGCTCCCGGCCAATAACATCTGGAGTACAGCAGGCTCAACGTTCTAGATACTCCCTGATGGCCCCACTGATCATGTATCATCCGTAATATTTCGTCCCTCATGCATTCGGGGACAGCATATTGCTTGATTTTACCATGGATTGCATCATCGGAGAAACGGTATAACACACCATCTTCTAGCCTTAAGTTAGCCCACTGCCTCAACCAACCTTGCAATTCTCGGATCGACTTGTCATAGTCCTTGCCCGGTGCCCAGTCATCTCTTTTTAGTTTTAACACCTCGCTGAGGACAGGTGAATTGCACTGGAACTGGGATAGTTGTTGCTTGCAATACGACGGGAACACGGCTGGGTGACTCATTTCCACAGTCACTTCTCTTACCATTATCACAGACTGGAGCTCCCCTTTAGGTAGACTTCCCATCACACTGCTAATTACTTCGGCAACAGGGACAGTTCTGCTCAACGCATCTGCGCATCTGTTCTCCCTACCAGGTTTGTATTTGATGTCTAGGTTGTAAGTAGCCAGTTGCGCCACCCAACGATGCTCTGTGGCACCCAGCTTAGCAGTTTCCAAGTGTACGAGCGGGTTATGGTCCGTGTACACTATGCATTTGTTGTTGAGAAGATAGGAGCTGAACTTCTCGGTTACCGCCCATTTTAATGCAAGGAGCTCAACTTTGAAACTGGACAGATCGTTGTAGTTTCTCTCTGCTCCTCTCAGACCTTGGCTAGCATATGCAATTGGATGCTGTCTCCCCTTTTCGTCAGGCTGCATCAGGCATGCTCCCAATCCCTTAAACGAGGCATCCACTTCTAGAACAAAATCCCGTTGGAAGTCAGGATAAGCCAGTACTGGAGCAGAACTTAATGCGGTCTTCAGACGCTCAAATGCTTCATTTTCAGCCTCTCCCCAATGAAAGTTCCCCGCTTTTACCTCGGATGTACGCCTTGTTTTTCCTACTAGTGTGTGTAGAGGTGCTGCAATTTGTGAAAACCCATTGATGAATCTCCTATAATATGATGCTAGGCCTACAAAGGAACTGACCTCCTTTCCTGTTGTTGGTGTGGGCCACTCTTTAATTCTACGGACTTTCTCTTCTGTCACTTGCACACCTTGTTCGTTCACAATATGTCCAAGGTACTCGACTTGGTTCCGGAGCAAATCACACTTCTTGCCTTTTAACTTTAGGCCAAACTCCGCCAGTCTGCTCAAAACTCTTTCCAAGCGCACTAAGTGTTCTTCGAGGGTTGAGGAGAAGATCAAAATGTCATCAAGATACAAGACAAGCTCAGTTAAATTCATGTCTGCGAATAAAAATACCATGACTCTTTGAAAAGTATTAGCTGCGTTACTTAGACCTTGAGGCATTCTAAGATACTCGTACAGACCCCACGGCACCCTGAAAGCTGTTTTCTCGATGGATTCTTCATCCATGACGACTTGGTAGTACCCGTGAGCCAGATCAAGAGTAGAAAAATACTTAGCCCCGCCTAAGATATCCAAAACCTCATCTATCCGTGGTAGGGGAAACGAGTCCTTTACAGTAACGGCATTCAACTTACGATAATCAATACATAGTCGGAGTGATCCATCTTTCTTCGAGACAATAACTATAGGGTTGCATAAGCACTTTTTGAAGGCCTAATAATCTGCTGATCTACCATCTCCTGGATCATCGCTTTCACTTCCGGAACTTTGTGAGGATGGATACGTCTGAATGGTTGTTGAATTGCTTTATTGGTAGTCAGGCTAATAGAGTGTGAGATAAGATCACATTTACCAACGTCATATAGACCAGTTGAAAATGCACCGGGGTATCTATTCACCAGCTCTGTTACTCTCAACCTCTCAGCTTCATCTAGGTGATTAAGATTTAGGCCTGGAGCTACTTCCTCACACTTACGAATAATCTTGCTAGTCATATTGGCCTTTACAGATGGTATTTCGCTGCCAGGAACTGTTATGATTTCGTTGACGTGCACCTCCAATCCACCAGTTACCTCCACCAACTCCGCTTGCTCTTGTTGGTCTACCCGGTGTACTTCACCTATAGTTGTATCTTTCATCAGCTTAACATGATGCTTCTCCGGGTTAGCTACCATAACAGTGACAGCTCCATCTTCAACAGCCCCGCATCCCTCTACCACTTCAGCATGTTTACTTCCTACAGTTGAACTCACTAACACATTGCCCTTGAGGCTACCAACTAGGCAGTTTATCCTTCTAATGCTGCAAGCCGGTATAGTTACGTTTTCAGCTAATCGCAGTTCGGCTGTTTCTCTGGTTTCACTCTGGACAGATGTTCGGTTTTCACCATTAGTCTCCGCCAGTAACAGCTGTCGTACAAACTTCCAGGCGAAGTTGTCCTTCTTTGGCGTATTGAGCATGGCTAGCTTCTTTAATACGTTGCAGCCTAGCAAAATGGGGTGGTCTTGACTCCTCTTGCTCGAACCTCCCTTAGATACCAAGAAACTTGCGCTTAAACTGTGTTCGCCATACTGCATTGGAAGTTCTACGTAACCTTGTATGTCAACAGGCTCCCCATTAACACCAGTGATCTGAAGGTAAGTTACTTCTGGCGCTAAATTTCCTAGTTTTGGCTTAAGTTTTTCCTCGTAGACAGCAGCCGGAATCAGAGATGTCATAGCCCCCGTATCCAAGATACAACCAAGTTCGACTCCAGCTAGAGTTATAGTAGCAGTCGGACTGCTGGCTACCAACTTACTCTCATGGTCTTCAGTGCTAGCAATACTGCCTACTTCAACATTGTTCAGGTCTGGCCTTCCTCTAGTCGCAGCACCTTGTAATTGTGGGCAGTCCCTCTTGAAGTGACCATACTGTCTGCATTGAAGACATCGGAATTGGTTAGTACAATCTTTCTTGTGGTGTCCTTTCTCTAAGCACTTGTAGCACGTAAGGGGCCTTCGTGGCATCATACCATTGCTACTTGCACCACCATCCGACTGACGGTTCAACTGCGCTTTCACTGCTCTCAATTCTGCTTTCAGCGCTTCCATCTCATTACTTTGTGCGTCATTAACCACTTCATGTACCTGTACTCTCTTCTTCTGGCTTTCAAGATTCCTAAAGAAATCTAGCGTTTCCTCTCTCATTTCTTGGAAAGACCTATCCTTGTATGCCATCTCTATTCTACGCAATTCTCGTTGGACCCATGGTTCCCTTACTCCTCTGGTAAACCTCTCTTTCAAGGCGTTGTCCTTTAGGCTTTCTAAGGCTGTTCTCTCAACGTCTGTCGTTGCCGCCTTGGTCATCCTCTGATATATTCGCATCAGGGCTCTGCTGTAGTCGCCTAATGACTCGCCATCTAGTTGAGAACGACTATGAAAAGTACTACTCAGTGATTGAACAGTATTGATCGGCGCAAATAGTGCTTCAAGCTTCTCTATTATCCTCGCACTATCCCTCTTGACATCATCACCATAGCACAGGATCTCATCTTTCGCTGCTCCACCTAGATGGGCCAGAAGCGAATTAGCCTTGGCTTCCCCAGTCAGATTATAGTGGGTAGCATAACTATTGAAGTCATCTATCCACTCCTTCAAGGACAGCTCCCCAGACTCTCGTGCAGATCCCTTAAACTTGGATTGCTTAACAGGCGGTGGACCTCGTTGTGTGTTTAGGCCTTGGAGTGCTGTAGTCAGCGCCTGTATCATGTCATTAATCTGCGCCATCCTGCTATATTACAGTGGGAAAAAGAAACTATGCACACAGCAAATATGTGATAAAGCAAAAAAAAAAGAGTTCAAAACATATCAATCAAATCAATAAAATAGCTTGTAAATCAAATTATGCAATAATATCTAAATCTGCATTCAGGGGTCTGGTATTCTTCTACGGTCAAATTCGTCTCCGCACCACCTCTAAGCTTGCAGTACCAAGAACTTGACTCGTCGCATCTGCTCGTAGATTCAGTTCTGTTCCAGTTGCATCCCACCGCTGCCACCAAATGTTGTCGTGAGTCGGACAAAGATGTCAATGAGTAGATCATAGACGGAGTACGTTGTTGAGACGTTTATTGGAACACAACGGAAATGTGAACGAAATATACAGTAAAATAAGAACCAAATAAAAGAAAAACCCTGTAACACAAAGAAACAAAGAATAGAGTAAATGTATCATATGCCTCAGCAATATATCGCATAAAACAATGTCTCAAATTATCTCAATTAATCAGTATAAACTTCTAATAATATCTTTATCAATGAGCCTCTGCTCACAAGCATAATAATAATGATCATATTAAAACAACAATACAGTACTCATTACTGTCTCTCGTGTCATTACTAATACATCATTCTAATTATAAATCTCATGGTTAACTTTACTTTAGGAAGCATTCCTGTTATAAGTTCTTATTGTAAGTTAACAATTACAATAATCCATGCAAACGCATCAACTAGTACACAGGGCCTAGAGTATCTGAATTACTCTAGCAAAATAATCTTAAAGCATATAAATAATATAACAAGAATAAATCATAAACAATTGAATTATAACCGCACCTGCAATGCACTCCTATGGCACTGTTATATCAGGCAAATAACCTCTTGTTCTCATCAATGTAGAAATCGGAAAACTTCGGACACAATATCAAACTCTGCAATCGGTTACAATCTGTTTTTCTTCTCTGCCCATAGACACGTCTTGCCTCTCTCGTGGCAGGTTCTCAACTTACTTAGCTTGTTTAAAGACGACGCGCAAGTCGTATTACACAGACGCTAAGATAATTAACACTCCGCGAATATCCAAACAAAGGGACATAAACAGTATATGAATATCCCTCCCCAAAATAAAATAGACCCTAAATAAAAAACGAATTCCAGTCTCTGACATTATATAACAGATAATATCAATTATAAGTATAGACCTGATCTCAGTAATATTATTAATGATGTTTGTGAAACCCTCTGTATTGAAATTGAGGCAAAACCAATAAATATCATTTTATCAGTTATTTATAGACCACCAGAAAAGTGTGTTAAATCATTTCATAAATGTATTTCTTTATTGTTGGAAGAGGTCAACAAAGAAAATAAGGCTTTTTATACATGTGGGGATATCAATATTGATCTCTTAAAAGCCGACTCTCACAAACTAACATCTGATTATCTTAGTACTTATTTTCATCAAATTTGCTTCCCATTTTAGATAGACCCACTCGCATAACTAAAACCTCTGCTTCTTTAATTGATCATAATATTGTAACTCACCTGTTCATAAATTCAAATCTTACTCTACTGTGGCATAACTGATCATTTACCGATATTTTGTATTTCTTGCAAAGATAAACCATTTATATCAAGTAGATCTAAATATACATATAGCAGAATAATCAACGACAATACTATTTATTCTTTATTATCTGAACTTATGGTTACTGACTGGTCTGAAATCCTTAATTCTTCAAACAATACTGATGGAATGTATTACTTATTTTATACAAAATTTATGAATATTTATAATAAGCATGTAAAACTCCGCAAGAAAAGAACCAATATTCGTAAACAAAATAAACCATGGTTAACTAATGGGATTATTCATTCTATTAATACTAGAAATAAATTATATAAAAAGTATATGAAATCTGGTAAAGAGATCGATAAAAAATGGTACACTAATTTCGGAAATAAACTAACTAACATAATCCGCTTATCTACTAGAAATTACTTCAAAAAACAATTTGATATTCACAGAAATAATATTAAGGCAACTTGGCAAACAATTAATTCCGTGCTCGGCAGAAATACCAAATCTAAGTTTCCACATTACTTTATTAAAAATAATATGAAAATCACAGACCAGTCTAAAATTATTAATGAGTTTAAAATCGGCCATAAACTTTCTCAATCAATTAACATGTCATACATTAATTATTCAGCATTTCTTAACTCACCTAATATTCATTCCTTATTTCTTACACCAGTGTCAGAGAAAGACATTATTGACATTACTGACTTATTCAAATCTAACAAAAGTCCAGGCGCCGATGATATTCATCCAGATGTTATTAAAAAAGTTTCTCCATTTATATGTAAACCATTGTGTCACATTTTTAACATTTCATTTCAGTCTGGTAAGTTTCCAAATTCTCTAAAAATTGCAAAAATTATACCTTTTTTTAAAAATAACGATCCCCACCAATTCACCAATTATAGACCCTTGCTTTTTAAAAATTCTTGAAAAGTTAATTTATAACAGATTATTAGCATTTTTTTCTAAGTATCAGATTTTACACACAAATCAATACGGATTCAGGAAAGCACAAGGTACAGATCTTGCGGTGCTCCACATGTATGAAAAATGTTAACGCCTTTACTTGCAAAAAAACATCACACAATCGGTATTTTCTTGGATTTATCTAAGGCCTTTGACACCATAGATCATGATATTTTACTCTCAAAATTATCTAATTATGGTGTCAGATGCCTTCCATTACAACTAATAAGAGATTATTTTACAGATAGACAACAATTTACCTCTATTAATTCATTTGATTCTAACTTATTACCTATATAACCTGTGGAGTACCACAGGGTTCTATTTTAGGTCCTCTGCTTTTTTTAATTTATGTTAATGATCTCCCAAATATTTCAAAATTACTACATTTTATTTTGTTTGCAGATGATACCAATATATTCTATTCCAATGAAAATAACCATACACTTATAACCACAATTAATAACGAACTTAAAAATGTATCTTTATGGTTCAAACTCAATAAATTATCTCTTAATATATCCAAAACTAATTTTATTTATTTCAATCATAGTAAGAAATGCAACAAAGAATTGCCAAATGATATCCTTATGGATGGCCATCCAATTAAAAGAGTTTCCAGCGCAAAATTTCTGGGAGTCATAATTGACTGTGAACTCAGTTGGAAATGTCATATTGCCAATGTCACAAAAATAGTTTCTAGAAACGTTGGAGTTTTATCTAAATTAAAATACACGCTTCCATCCAATATTTTGTTATATAATACACTTATTTTACCTTATATTAACTTGCAACATTGCCTGGGCTACAACCACTGGTAAATTTTCACAATTGTGCCCCTGGGCAAGCTCTGAAACAACTAAAATTCATTGTTTATTTCGATTACAAAAGAAAGCGCTCAGAATATGCACAGGGGCACCCCCCTGGTCTCATTCCAAACCTTTATTTTATTATCTCAATACTTTGAATATATTTGATCTTAACAAGCTTCAAACAGCCTTGCTAATGTTTCGCTAATTAGCGTAAGGTCTGGTCAATCTACGTCGCTATTCTTTATACAAGTACAAGTACTTTATACAAGTATTGACCTTCATTTTAAAAACGATTTTAGAGGCGATGCTCTTGCAAGTTTTTTATCACCAAGCAAATTATTGAAAGATAACACAAATATTGATGTATTTTCGTAGACTATTTTATTGCAAAAAAAGAAGAAAATATTAAAATATAAGTATGCCTATGCAATTTTCTTAGTAATGAGTATGTGAAAAAACGTGGGGAAAAAAAATTGGCCGGGAGTCATGTTAACAAAACGGTAGTGTTGTCAAGTGTGTTAATTAATGGAAAACTCAACAATTTGTCATAAGTTTGGCTTAGAAATTATTCGAGTCAGGCAAAGTTGACTTGGGCAAGTTTAACTGTATTTTTACTTTCTAAGCTGCAAAAAACAGTCTGAGTCTGTAGGCTTATAACCTTTTCTCAATCCTTGTAGATTGATCCGTTGTAAAAATGAGTGACAGTATGGAAAGAGACACATCAGAAAGTGAGTTAACTTTAATTATTTGTGAGTATATGCAGTAAATCTTTTCAACAAAAAGTGTTCAGTAAGAAGTAATTAAATTTGAAAATTAATTGTTATGAAAAACATTTAATTATTGTATTTTAATTGTTATAATTATCAATTAATTAATAATTAATAAATTTTAATCCAATCCAAAAAAAGGAAAAGGTTCATACTAATTCAGAAAGGTTGAAGTTCAGTAGGGGATATGTATAGGACCATCATTATTTCCATACCAATTACAGCAATAATAATAGTATAATAATAGTAGTAATAATAATAGTAGTGGAACACTTTAATATTTACAATCACACATTGTTATCTACTCTAACGCACAAATGGAATCACAAGTCTGGTACAAAAGTATAATGCAATAAAATATATTAACTGCATTTCTCTAATGTGTATTTGATTGAAAATCTACATTGAAAAATGAATATAGGAATAATAAATAATTGTTGTTCTATGCTATGTTAAATTTGCCAAGATTTTCACAATTTTTTGAACAGATGATGAAAAAGAACCAGAAAATTTAACTAGCAAAAGACAGGTGAAACAGAAAGGACCTACTAACAAAATTAAGAGGGCAAAGACAGTTGAGCAATCAAGCCTAGGTATGTACTGGTCGAGTATTTTATATTTTGTAGCAGAACATAAAAATGTCATTTACTCAACAATGTATGTTTGTGGGTTTGATTTGTTTTCATTTAACGTAAATGAATGCTGTAAATTGTTGTTTGTTATTCTGATGAATTGAACTCCACTTTACGTAAACATTTTAAAGTTTAAATAATTGTTGTTCTATGCTATGTTAAATTTGGCAAGATTTTCACAATTTCTTAACAGATGATGAAGAACCGGAAAATTTAACCAGCAAGAGAAAGGTGAAACAAAAAGGACCTACTAACAAAATTAAGAGGACAAAGATAATTGAGCAATCAAGCCCATGTATGTACTGGTAGAGTATTTTATATTTTGTAGCAGAACTTTATAATGTCATTTACTCAACAATGTATGTTTGTGGGTTTGATTCTTTTTCATTTAACGTAAATGAATGCTGTAAATTGTTGTTGAACTCCACTTTACTTAAAAATTTTAAAGTTTCTACTAGAAATAAAGTAAAAAATAAATTGTTATTCTATGCCTTTACCTTAGGCATAAAAAAAAATGAGCCAGAAAAACAATAAGTAAAGTAAACAAGTTAAAAGAACAAAGTTAATTGAGCAATAAAACCAAGGTATATGTTGTATTTTGTAGCCTAACATTACAATACAATAGGTTATTACTCAACAATGCATGTTTGTCAGGGTGGTAATCTATGGTTCATACGTTTGTTTTCCATTTAAATTATGTTATATTGAAATCCACTTTTCAATAATAAATATACTTTATACTGTATATATTAATTGTTTAATATTCAAAGTCAATTGAGCAATCAAACTAAGGTATGTATTATAACTATGCAATTTTTAAATAACTCAGAAGAAACATTACTACGGATAAGGAGTGGGAGGCCATGAATCAACGTCTTGAGCTTTACTGGGTGTATTTTCAAGAATGACCCAATAAAGGTCAAAACGTTAAATCATGGTCTCCCTCTCATTATTCGGAGTAACTTTCTTTTTATGTTATTTAAACATAATCAATACATCTGGTTTTACAATTTAAGTTAGTAATAAACAATGCATGTTTTTGGGGTAACTGGGGTCCTATGAATTTTATGTTTATTTAAAATTAACTGTTTCTTTACATTTTTAGTTCCTTTGTGACCTTAGGTCACATGGAACTAATGTAATGGTTCACATGTAAAATGTGTGTATGAGATGTGACACTAAAAGAGGTCAGCATATTTGTAAACAAATAGGCTCTGAAACGGTGCATAGTGGCAGGTATACATTGTGCTCGATAGTTGCTGGGGGACATGCAATTGTGCAAGAAATGTTTGTTTTTTCGGTTAGATGAAAAATGTAGGCTGTAGGCGATAAAACATACAGAATTCGATCCAACTCGGCCACAAGTCAACTCGGCCACAGTCAACTCGGCCACAAGTCAACTCGGCCACAAATCAACTCGGCCACAAAAAGTTCGGCTGCAGTCAACTCGGCCACAAGTCAACTCGGCCACAAGTCAACTCGGCCACAATAATATTGCTGTTATTGGTGTCATTGTTATTATTATTGTTGTTTTTATTACCGTTAGTTTTAATATTAATTATTAGTCTTAGCATTAACATTATGTATTGTTTCAATTTTTGCTGATATTATTATTGTTACCATATAAATAATACAAAATTCTCGATTTTTTTAATTCATATTATTATTATATATTAGTCTTAGTATTATTATTTTAATAATAGTAATTTTAAAAATATTGTTATTGGTGTTTTATTGGTATTTTTCTCATATTATTATTATTATTATTATTGTTGTTGTTGTTGTTGTCACCACCTTTATTATCGATATTGTTACCCTATTATTACTAAGTAGGCCTAGTATTATAAGTATCATAATTATTATAATTATTACTAATTAGTATTACTATTATTATAAAAATAAACGTTATCTTTAATTTATTATTGCTGTTATTATTGCTAATATTATAACCTTCAATGTTATTATCACTAATTAGTATTATTAAAATAGATATTTAAATATCGTTATTATTACCATATTATTTCTATTAGTATTGTTAAAATAAATATTAATATTGTTGTTGTTATCACCTTTATTATCATTATTATGACTAATTAGTATTATTAAAGTAAATATTTGAAAAGGACCGACATGTCACTGGTGAATCACGTCATTGGATGCATCCTTGTCACTGACGGGTTTCAAACATATCCCCCAATGGTCGAACAAATATGAAGGACTGAAGTCTGTCACTCAACAATACCAATTGTTAATATTGTGGATAATTGATACCAGATGCTGCACCCCACCTAATTTTAACGTAGGCCTAATTCTTGGGCGTGGTTCTGAAGAAAATAGTATCGAAATGCACGCCATCGTGCATTCATTTGATTTTAGTCGGATTCAAAATAAATTTTTAACATTTAAAAAAATCATAATGTGGTTTTTCTATTTCAATTTTTTATGACTAGGTCTACAGTATGAACTCATGTTTTATGTCAGGGTTTTAACGTGAACAAAATTAAACATTAATATATGTGTTTTTCTTAATTATTAAGTTGCTTAATTTGTTAGTGTTACAATTGTCAGATTTTATTCCATTCTGTAAGTGGCGGGTTTTCTCTGTTGAATAAGAGTACAGTGTGAAGAAATGTATACAACGATCTCACGACGATGTGACGATGATCAGAATTTTACTAAAATATACTGTGTACTTCATTTTAATCATATTGAAGAAAAAGGATGCAGAAACTGTAATACCGTATTTACATTTCATTTTAATTATAAATAACTTGTGGCCGAGTTGACTTGTGGCCGAGTTGACTTGTGGCCGAGTTGACTTGTGGCCGAGTTGACTTGTGGCCGAGGTGACTGCAGCCGAACTTTTTGTGGCCGAGTTGATTTGTGGCCGAGTTGACTTGTGGCCGAGTTGACTGTGGCCGAGTTGACTTGTGGCCGAGTTGACCTACCACCAGTTTTGAGTCGTTTTTTAGTCGAAAATTTGATTTGCGCATGCGTTGGGTCAAACTTTGCCGACATTTTGTTTCTGTCTGCCTAGAAAAGTTCTTTATGTTGTTTTCGCGACTGTCAGTAAACATCGAGCAAACTGAGATAGTTGTGGCATATCGGCCACTTACTTGTGCTATTATTTGAAGGTGTTCTGTGTGTTCTATTAGTGTTTTAGTATACTTTAACGGCTAAGATTGACGGACCTGGTGTACCTAGAGGCCTAGCCTAGACACATACGTAATGTAGGCTTCTCTTTGGGCGACACCATCAGACCTGGTGTAGGCCTAGACACATCTGATATACTGTACTATACCATTACGTATTAAAGTAGGTTTTTTGGCCTACCACCAGCCTGCCGTCAAGCAATAAAAATCAACATTTTTGGAATTATTTTCCAAGAAATGATGGTTAAAAATTCTGGACAAATAAATATGCAGCATGTGATGGACGGATGAATTCTAAGGGTTGGCGGGGGCAGCATGTGATGGGCGGATGAACTTAAGGGTTGGCGGGGGGACGGGAGTTCATCAAATGATGTTTGGGAAAATAATGGTCAGAAAATACAGCATCTGATGGACAGTCCCTGGTAGGGAAGAACCTTAAAATTATGGACACATAAATTTACAGCATAGCTTCATCAAATGATGTTTGGCAAAATAATGGTTAGAAAATACAGCATCTGATGGACAGTCCCGGGTGGGGTAGAACCTTAAAATTATGGACGCATAAATTTACAGCATGTGATGGACTGCGTGTCCGGACAATTACCCCCTGGAAAATCACCCCCCGCCCTGGGAATCACCATACCTACCAAGGACAATTACAATTAATTTTCCGGGGGTAATTGTCCTAGTACTGATGGACTGACCATCTATACACATATACAGCATGTGATGGAGGCATGTATCTGATGGACAGTCCCGGGTTGGGGGAGAACCTTAAAATTATGGACACATAAATTGACAGCATGTGATGGACTGACCATCTATACACATATACAGCATGTGATGGAGGCATGTGATAGACGGACGAACATATGCCTTTCTTCAATTAATTTCCAGTAAAATAATTATTACAACTTCAAGAAAACTCGTGTTTTTATTGCATAAATTAATTTCACAAGCATTTATTCTGAAACATAGCGGTATCAATATTCTTTCTATAACAGTACAAGCCAACGGGAACCAGACGTCGAATAGAAAGTTTCAACAGCCCACGTGTGTTTTGTTGCGACATCATAAATGAAGCTGCTCACGTGACCTCTAGGACCACACTCCTGAAAAGAAGTTTATTTATTGTTTTGAGCGAAGTGGTTTCGAATTAAACTTGTTTCAAAATTGTTTGAGTGAACGTAACTATGAAATAATTATTTAAACAACCCAAACCATTGCTTGATTGTCATAGAAAAAGTAGTAGGACAGTACAGCACTGTATAGTGAGTATAATTACAAATACTAGCCCTTCAAAGCCTAGGCTAATTATTTGGGCTAGTTAGTAGGAGCATGGGCCCAAGCTAGTAGACAGACGGCGCCTGATTTTTGCTGCAGTGCGCGATCTGAACTTTTTGGGAGTAGGTTAACAACTGGTGTATAGGCCGCACCCCAAACTTCGAGGGGAAAATAGCGTATAAAATTTGCGGCTTATTCACCGGAAAATACGGTTTATGGAGCAAAAACTTGTGTTTCCTCATAATTTTAAAGGGGGCGGGAGAATTTGTATGAGGCTGGGCGGAAGGCCTTAATAATACTGTAGCTTTAGGATGGGCACAAGACATCAAGAGTGGGCGGCGCTGCCCACCTCCGCCCTGTATAACGACATCCCTGCACTTCTCAGAACCCCTGACCCCCCTCCCTCCTTTCATAAATTTCTGGATCCGCCTCTGATTTTTTTGACTGAAAATGAAAATACTGTATTACCTTACACAATCATTATTCAAAAAGATACAATAAGTTATTGCAATTCCCAAATGTACATTGATTTTTTACGTACAAAGGAACGTACGCACCCGCAGGGTTCTGGTTTTCATTTAAGAATTATTATTATTATTATTTTATGTTAGAACAAATAATGTATATATTCATTGTTTTTTTTAGGCACATGTGCCAATGGTGGCTCTTTTCCGGTCGGCGATTTTTTTTTCCGTACGAAACATTTACATGAAACTTCACTCGGGCCATCTTGGATTGACTCGAGTGAGTACGATACAAGGAACAAGATCAGACACTTCGCAATGTCATGACGCTTGAGTTTTACTATTACTGTAATTGCTCTTTCTATGTTTACTACGGTAGGCCTATGAAATCTCACGGACTTATGGGATGTACGTGTGTAACGTAACTAACTGTGACCTTCTTGGATGTTATTAAATATTAGTATATTATCTACAACAACAACAGCTAGTACCTCCTGTTATAAAGTGTAGTAAGGTACAGTAATACCAAAGGCTAGAGAGAAAGAGGCCTAACAGGCTGAGATCTTATCTAGGCCCCTCCTTTAACTAGGCCTAGGGTCATAGGCTGACACCAACATACTGACATTGACTGAAATTTTTTGGGGAAAAAATAGGACAAAATTGAAGCATGAAATAAAAAATATAGCGCATAAGAGAAATATTATTAAATAAATAATATACCATTCCGACGTTATTGAACTTGTCCAAACTATCATTGTAATGTAATTAATGTTAAATAATAATAATAATAATTTCAGCATTATTTACCTTGGCCTAAGCCTTGTAATGAAGAACCTACAGATACCGTACTATTAGGCCTATAAATAATAATCGCCCAAGGGGAATATCTTTTGTGTTATTTCCCCTTAAGGTCGTTTTTTTTAATTGTTCTCTAATTCCTCCATTGTCTAAGTTCCCCTTAAGGTACAGGTAATAATAATTAATAATAATAATAATAATAATAATTTCAGCATTAATTACCTTGGCCTAAGGCTTGCAATGAAGAATCTACAGATACTATTTACTAGGCCTATAAATAATAACTAGCCCAAGGGGAATATCTTTTGTGTACCATTGGTATTAACATAGTAACATCAATGTATTTTTAAAAATTAGGCAGCGACGTTCTCTCAGAAGTTGTTTTGTAGACGTTTATCTGTTGATGACCTTTTGACCTCCTGAATTCTGCAATGAGATTTTCAAGTCGATTCTGCCGAGACAGCTCGGTGCTTTTAACATTACGTTCGGTGCTTTTACATTACGTTCAGTGTTTTTACATTACGTTCGGTGCTTTTGCCGCACTTCAGCTCTTTTATCATTTAGTGCTTTTACCTTTCGACCCTTTCATCATGGTGAATCGGTGTTCGATCATTTCGAACGTTATGTTTTTATACAGTAAATCATTATTATTATCCCCGAAACTTAGAAATACCGGGTTGGTGTCCGGTGGGGTATAGTTTCATTGGTAGTTAAAATATTATGTTTTTGTTGTTTTCTTTAACTCATTTTGTTTTCAATAATTTTTTCTTTTCTAACTATGTATGGTCTATCATGGACTTCACGGATGAAAAAAACACTCATGGGTGATTCAAGTGTCTCCGTGTTTTGCATAAAGTATATTATTGTTATTATTATAGAATGTGTGTTATTAATATAATAGGCGCCCTATGACAATATAAGTAATTATTATGCATTGTTAGTTTTATTGTACATCCTCCGATATGTTTTATGTATAATGTGAAAATGTTTGATGTTGATACGTTAGATTTATTTTTCTTGCGTGATACGGTAATAAATAAAATTGTGATGTAAAAGAATATGCGGCTGTATAGTATACAACTTTGTTTCGTCACTTCTTGAAATATGTTTAAATTTTTTATTTATTTTCAATGTTGAGAATTGGTGAAAATGAAAATATTTTACATATCTTGCGCCTTGTGTTTAACCATTTCCGATATGTTTTATATACAACATGATTTTCTAATTAAATACATTTGTTGATTTCGTTTGATGTTTGAGAAGGTGACATGAATAAAAAGGGAATCATGGTTTCCCTCTCATTATTCAGAGTAACTTTCTTTTTACAGTATGTTATTTAAGCATAATACATCTTGTTTTACAGTTTAAATTATTAATAAACAATGCATGTTTTTGGATGTAGTTGTGAATCTCAACTGATAAATACAATAGAAATACTAAAAATATGGATTCAAAAAATGTTAGATTGTATTGTTCTCAATTTTTCTTAGGCATTTGACACAGCTCCCCATCAACGCATATTACATAAATCTCAGCTGTTATGGCATAAGAGACAATACACTAAATTGGATTAAATTATGGTTAGTAGGTAGATACCAATCTGTAGTGGTGGATGGTTATACATCCAATAAAACAATTGTTAAATCAGGGGTACCCCAAGGAACAGTACTTGGACCACTCATGTTTCTACTGTACATAATTGATATCTCAGAAAACATATCTGATTTGAAATTATTTGCTGACGATTGCATACTATTAAAGAGTATAAAAAATAACCAAGATTCCACCGACTTTCAAGATGATGAGAATAAAATTGTGACGATTGAATTTATTCGATTTATTAAAAAAAAATTAGGCTAGACTTATGCTTATGCTGTCACGGTTAACGTGTATTCGGGAATCTAAGAAGCAATATTTTTCAGTGGGCCTGGCCACCGAAAATAAATTCCACGCCCCCTCATATTTTGGTCACGCCCCCCCCCCCCCGGCCCCAGCCCCCCATTTTAATACTGCTAGATATGCCACTGCACTCCTCCAGCAAAGGAGGTTTGTCGCACGACAATCCCTCTTATATAAAACATGGCATGGGAGAACACCTATAGTACTCCCCAACATCAGCATGATAGAACAAAGTAGACAACTAAGATTTAAGAAGCAACAATTATTACATTCTTCGAAAACAAGTTCCCTTTTTTCCCACGTACAATAAGAGCATGGAACATATTTCACTGTCAAGCAAGCACCAACACTACAACATTTTCAAGTACGAAAAACATCTGAGACAGCACCATTACCATTGCAATACCCAAAAGTCAATATTGTGAAGTCATGGGTTTAAATTTTGAAGGGTCAACATTTCTGTACTAATAAAAATTAAAAAAATATATGTGTGTGTATGCATGTATTATTATATTTTTTTTGTGAGGGGTTACAACGGCAGCGTCGTTTTCTGTCACAGTCTAACGGCAGTAGACCTAAGGCACTAAGCCAAAGCAGAAGCTGCTGTTACATCGGATTTGCTGGTGTGTTTCTGCGTATACACACTACTGAAAGCGACGCTGCCTCATCATCAATTGTTGGAGCCCCCTCTTGAAGAAACAATCCAAATTATTTACTTTTTTGACAGAATCATTTACCAGTCAGATGTACTTTAATAAATAAATCTTTTATAAATTATAATACTTGCAAATCAATGATGCACACTGATGCATATACTGTACTCTAGTGGGGTCCTCTGTCAGTATTGATTCAGATGAGGCCTCTAAGTGTGTGAACCAATAACAACAAAGAAAAATGTGTATGTTGTCATGAGTGTCCTGGATAAGGCGTACCACTACTAGATGGAGGAATCATCATAATCATAGAATACAACAAGCACCTGTTGCTGAATTTGGATTTAGCAATGCACTTGTGACAGTCCATTTTATTGTAATGCATAGGCTATGAGTCCTGTAGTATGGAGTATGATTCCTGAATTCTAGATAATTCTAGATTTCAAAAAATAAAATACAGAATGACTCAGGTAGACAATTACCAAGTTCGTTCAAATCAAAGTGAGAATTTGAATGTTGACAGAAATAGCTGCAGGTTCATGTATTGGTGCGTAAAATATTTGGTGCCCTAGCCTACAAAGGTAAAACAATTGGGTTTTAAAACTTACCGATTTCCTTTATAGATTATACGAGCCTTCCAATTCATCCAATAGACGTAGGCCTTTCATGACTGCATACACATTTTTTTTTCTGTTGTCATCGGTTAAAGATTCCCTGTCTGCAAATTTTAAACATCAAATTACAAAATGAAATGAAATTTGTGATACACCATAGTACAGTATATCTTTTAGTTGGCTAGAAAAGTGGGACACACAACATTGAATGAAATCAAGTAATTTGGCTATAGAAATGTTGTTAAATGTAGAATGTCTGCCAATATGTTCTGTTTCACTAATAAAATGCTAATAGAAATTTCTTTTGTATAATTTCATATGGTCCAACAGCCGTTTCTGGACAAATGTGTGGGCCAGTTCAGATGCCGGCCAGTCGTGTGAACTCACCAACATCTTTTCAAGCAAACGCAAATCAACCCGAATCAGTGGTAAGTATCTCCATTGTATGCAAGTACAGTAAATCAATCTACATACAATGTTGTTCCACCTTTAGGTTATGGAAATTCGACTTTTTTACCCTCAAGGCGACAATTTTTTTTATACCTTGTTTAACCAACCCGGCACCCACAGATAAAGATTATTTTGAATAAAAATAATTTTATTTTTTGCCAATTAGTGTACGGCTGCCACAAAGAAAATTTCAAGAAAAAATGAAAGTTTTTCTTTATTTCATAACGCCTTTCGCTGAATTGAAAACTCCAAAATAAGATATGTATATTTCTTCCTAATTATTTAAATTTAAAGTATTCCCATTACTACACTATTTACATATACCAATAATATTTTATTTTTAATTTCTCCTTTGTATGGATGTTTTTAGGAAATATATTTGCTAAATAAGAAAACAAAACTTTATTTTCATTTCTTTTCCGTCGTTCTCTGATGATCTATAAAAAAAATAAATTTGCGAAACAAGGAATAAGAAAAGTCTGATCCAAGCATAAAAGAAAGTTTTTCAAATTAAAGCTACGTTCACATCAAGCCCGGATCTGGTCCGAAGTCCAGACATAAAATTGTGATTTGCTACGTTTTTTGAACGCTACGTTCACATCGCGAACGGGACATGGTTGTGCGGGTTAAGTACACATGAGTTTGATTGGTTCGAACCAACCAAGCTGATTGGATACAAATAGCTCTCAGATTCATTGGTCCGGATCCGCATTCCGAATTGGAAATCGTACGAATTTGATGTGAACGGTCCTATTCTTTACAACTGAACCTATTATTCACAATTTTTTCTACGGCTCCGGACCGGAATCTGGGCTTGATGCGAACGTAGCTTAAGGCACGCTGGAAAATAATTGAATTACCCATGGGATATCCTGAATATTGTTCTGTATTCAGGTGCATGACTGAGGTATGTATATGCTGTAGTATTGTCATCATTTTATATTATCTCACTACTGAGTTTTACACCGGTTTGTGTTTGACACCTGTCTATGATGAATAATTGTACATTTTTTGAAATATTTAGGTCTGGGAATTTAGAACTTCAAATCCACACACAAATTTGAATTGTCACAAAAATGTAATCATTTCTTCCTTGTAAATTTGTTAACTCTTCCAGAAAGTTCATTCAGATCAGTTGTTCAGTTCTTAAGATATCTGGTCTTGAACATTTCTCTTTAAATGGTCTTCATATCCACACTCTATTCCAGATCGTCAGCAAAATTAATCATTTCTTTCTGGTATGACAAACCATTCTAGAAATTTCATTCAGATCCATTGATCAGTTTTTGAGTTTATTATCTGGAACGTTAGCAGCACCTTAAATGATGCCCCACCAAAATTGAATAGTGTCCTCCTTCTGAAAAGTTTCCTGAAAATCAGAGATCAGTTTTTGAGATATCTAGTGTGGTTGTTGATGGTTTCTTTAATTGGTCTCCACACCCTACCCTGGTTCATTAGCAAAATAAAAAGGAACCTTCCATTCAATGTCAGAAATCATTTGAAAATGTAGTAAAGATAATGGTAATTTACTTAATTGTAGTGTAATTATTCGTAAATGTCTACAAAATTACAGGGTTTTTGAACTAAAGTTTTCAGAAGTCTGCATACAGACTATATCACTATCTTAACAGGTACCCATTTTACACATGGGTAGAGAGAAATAACAGCAGTGATTGATACATTGATCTTCACGGTTCAGCACACACACAGACTGTATCAGATTAGCTGACCTCTCCTCTATGTACTGTCTGAAGAGTACCTAGTACATGTGTTGCATTCTGAAAATAGTAAACACTGTAGTAATCAGGTTGTCAGTAACAGCATCATAATGTATTATACGTGATTACTATATTTTTTGTGCATGTGTTTTTAGACCATGCCTGAAACTCAACCGGCTGGAATGGGCCAGAATGCAACTCAGACGCCAACGGCTGATCCTGAAAAGCTTAAGCTAATTCAGCAGCAACTGGTTCTCCTACTGCACGCACACAAGTGCCAACGGCGGGAAAGCCAGGCCAACGGAGACATCAAGCAATGTTCGCTTCCACACTGTAGGACAATGAAAAATGTCCTCAACCACATGGAGCACTGTCATTCTGGCAAAAATTGCACAGGTAAGAAGAATGGAAATTGTAGTGTAAACTTTGACATTGAATTAAAGCCCATTTTATAGTATGTTCCCAGGGAAGTTCATATAAACTATATTTTACTGAAGTTAAATATTTGAATAATAGTGTTTCTGTTCTCAAGCAGTCATGTACAATATTCTCTACTTCTCGGAAATTTTACAGCTGTAAAGATCTGCACATAATAATAATAATAATAATCTATATTGCGCAAATTCCATAAAAGAAAAATTTAAGCGCGCATTACATTAAAATTGACAAGTATAACAAATTTACAATATAAGGTTCTTAGGAACAACTAAAAATTCTTGCAGCATAATGAATTAAGTCAAGTATATTCCATCACATTAAAAGTTTAATTTAACATAGACTACTTAGATATTTATTCTGGAGACTTAATCATTCATTGTTCTTCCTTAAGGTCCAGTTAACAGCCAAAACATGTTTTTAAATATAAAATAATATTACAAAATTATATATAAAAACCATTGAAATTTGGTAAAGCACAAGAACCAAGAAGAAAAAGTTTTATATTAAATCAATTTTTTTGGAGGAATGCAAAGTTACAGATTTTTTTGAACTGTGAGTATCTGGGAGAGGTTATTCCACAGTTAACTGAACCTTATTTGAATGTTTTTTACTTGACAGTCCTACCAGGTACCCATTACCTGGGTAACAAGAGAAGTAATGCAGATATAAAGTATCTTGACAAGGATATAAAAGTCTTCACCTCATAATAAAACTTCTGACTCCTTAATAGGAAGCTCAATGCCTTACTGTTAAGCCATGCTTCCACAAAATGAAACTCAATCCCTATTAAGCGTTTGCCTACCATGATAATAATGATATCACCTCTAAATTAAATACCTTATAACATAGAAAACTATATTAAATTGAAATATTGTTAATAATTAAAAAGGTATGTGGATAAAACTGGTAGATTAATTTAGTGATTTTAAGTTAAGTAAAAAAAAATGTTGGTGCATTTAGAACTACTCAATCCAACATCTTTTCAATGTTTGGTTCACTAAATTAGTAAAGAAATAAATATGCCACTTAATATTGAAATGAAATTTTAGAAATTATAAAAAACAGCAATATTGAAATGCCCTTGTATTTAGGATAAAATACATTCCAGAAAGACAAGGCTCAAAGCGTTCCAATTTTCTACTGAATTTCATGCTTCAGAAATTCCGAAAGCATAGTATGCATAATAAAATAGTATAGTAAATGACAAACTACTTATTAAGGTATTGGTACTTTTCATTGTTGTCCTGTTTGGAACAAAGGAATCTTTGATTCTCTATCAGTTGGGTGTTGATCTACAATATAGTAATCTTGATTTTGATATGCTTGAATACTAATTAATTACATCCTTGTTTTTGTGTGTGAACGACGGCTAGGTTCTGTGGAGTTGTTAATAGGAATTCATTGACTGTATCGTTGTTATTCACCTGAGCTTGCTTGTTGATTATCATTGTGTCAGTTAACATCAAATACTCATGAATTAAACTCATGCATATTCATGAATTTAGATTATAATACATATTCATAAATTGAACTCAGTGATCAAAAATCTTCTTAATGAATAATTTATCTGTATTCTTCTTTGAAAAAAAAAAAAAAAAAAAAAAAAAAAAAAAAAAATCATTTTTTTTTTTTTTCCAGGAGATAATACTTCTATAAGTATTTGTATGTCCTGTGTATTTGGTTCTAACTTTGTCCATATTGTTTTATTTGACAGTATTTTTATTATCATGTGTTTCTTATCATTATTCCTTTCTCTCAATTAGATAATAAAATACTATTTTTGTCTTCATAGTAACTCACTGTTCATCGTCTCGTCAGATAATCTCGCATCGGAAGTACTGTACTCGCAGTGACTGTCCTGTCTGCATACCTTTGAAAAATGCATCAGACAGATCGCGGACGCAAGGTGAGTTGTCTGGCTGATCCTCAACATTGTACACCCATTTTGTTGCATGCAGTGAGAATGTATAGAAAGACAAAATGAAGCATAGCATTGATGTTGTATAGACAGCTATGGCATAGGCTCTAGAAAATGTTGTACCCATTAATGTAGGATTGTACTTCACATTGTTCTATTTTTTTTTTTTTTTTTGGTGGGGGATGTACGTTTCAGTGGTTGGTGTTTATATTTTGTGTGTGTTTATTATTATTATTATTATGTTGATTAGTTAATAATGTTTATTTTGCAAATATCCTTGAAAACACAGTACGATACTTTTTGTGTAATTTACTCTTTTGCGAATGTAGCCAAACAGTTTTTGTGGCTACTGAAAGTAGCTACTATGCCATCGAATGGTTTGCCGAGGTAAGTGGTTGTGAATCTCGGTACCAGTCGTCACCCTTGATCACAAGCCGACTACCAATCAACGCTCATAATAATTTCTTCCGAATATTTCCAAGAAAATACGAAAGTTTACGAATGGAGGTTGTTACGACAGTTACGAAAATTACTCGACACTCAGCGGATCCTTTTTAGTTTTATGTTATGTTAGGTACCTGCCTCCACGTTTTTTTTATGTGCGATGACAAAAAAAAGTAAGTTCTTTGTAGGTAGACGATGTTTGATTTTACTGAATTTGACAATTTTAGGCCTAGGTGAGCTACTGATTTCCATGTGTTACTATTAGATAGTATTATTACTAAATGAAAATTTGTTTTTGACGTTTCATTTCAAGTCTTTTTCCGTGAGTTTCCGTTTTACTAGGCCTAAAAAATAATATGCTGATTTATCATTGGCCCGCTGGTGGACCGAAAAAATTTTTTCTTGTGCGTCGTCGACTCAAACCTTTGCTAGAACTACGCCTAAGCCTAGTAATACCATTTATAACGAACTAGATAGTAGCAGTCTGGCTTAATTATAAACTAATACTTTAGGCCAAGATGTGATTTATACAGAATCTCAAAATATTCAGCTCTTCAAGGATGGCATTCCAGGGAGAGGAGAGCCTATTCATGAGATAGGACTAGACCTAGCCCAATTTTCAGTAGTCGTTATACAAAATTATTATTGTTAATAAATAAATATAAATATATAATAAATATATGGCAAAAATATAAACATATAACAAGAAAATATGTGAATAAATTATTTAATTTTTCTATGTAATATTTATGCTATTAACTACAGTATATTAAAAATTATTAATGCATTTTATACAAATTAAAATTAATAATATAAATAAAATGTAGACAAATGTAAATACTTATATACATACATACATATAAAGAAGTAACAAATATATTACAACAATATAAATATATTAAAAACAATATATTACAGTAACATAACATATTTAAAACATTAGAATAAATATAGGCCTATATATAATATTAAAATAATAATAAATATGTTTATATATATATACATATATATATATATACATATACATATATATATAATATTATAGTAACATAAAATATTTAAAACAGAATATTGTATCTCCAGTTAAAAACAAACACAAATCAGTACTTCAAATTTAAATTACAAACCACTGCGGACAATTTTCAAGAAATTTTTTTTTCTGCTTCATATCACACTGAATTCCACAACTATTGAAAACCAGTCCAGTGAAGATGAGGGATTTTGGACCAATATTCTTTATAATAATAATAATAATAATAATAATAATAATAATAATAATAATAAGTTACATTTATATAGCGCATATTGCACATAAACTCGAACATTAAAATAAAGCAGTTGGATGAGATACCATTCCAAATTTAGAAATTTATCAACCCAAGACATTTTTTGTATTCGATTGTAAGCAACACTGAAGTCGTAACCATAAAAGCTAAGGCTATATAGCTTTCAGGAACCAAAAAGTTCAACACAAGAAATAGGCTAAAAATATTACAGAATGTATGCTGATTAATCCATCGTGTTCAGTACAGACAATATTTTGAGAAAATCTCATTCACAAAATTAAACATCCAGACTGCAGGCAAAAATGTTTGAAATGTTGAATAAGTTGTCAATTTACAAGTGATAAAAAGTTTTAAAAAATATGTTTTCTGTAATAAACTCACTTATAATTAAGATAAAAGCCTTTATTGCTATCTTGTTACAAAATCATGGATTCAGATTATATAGTTTTTAATTACTCTAAATGCTAAAAAAAAAAACAAAAAAAAAAGCCCCGTCGTGGCTCTTAAGAGTATATCATTCTTTGAGAGTAATGTTCTGTCCACACTCCTATTTACATTTATGTGACAAATGTCATGGGTGATGTGACATGTCCATATATATAGGGGTATATCACACAAAATTGTAGAATGGACAGAGCCATCCTGACAGTTAAAAGTCAGTACGTGATGGATGTCACCTCACTACTGTTTTTTTTTTGTTTTTTTTTTGTAATTGTTAATTTTCATGTTGTAATTGATAATTGTTTACATGGCAGCAAATAATTTCCTTCTGCTGAATCAACCAACCTTCACAAAATCAATGATTATATTATATATATTTAGTTGCCCTGTTGTTAAATGAGGCTGTCATTAATCCAGCTATGGGACCGAATCCACTGCCGAACTCACATAGAATACCATACTTGTGTCCAGGGTTTGTACGCGTCCTTAAATTCCTTGAATGTCCTGGAAAAGCAAATGAGCCTTTTCCAGTACTGGAAAGTCCTGGAAATTTAAGATTGTCCTTGTATGTCCTGAAAAGTTGATCATTAATTACAGTACTACAAGTTGCTTAGTAACAGTAAATTGAATGAGAAACGTTCCCACAAGTGGGTTCCCGCAATACTCTTGAGAGAATCAGGTCAAGTCTTTGTACGCCGCCAATTCAGGAATGTTATCAAAGCAGAAAGAATGTCATTACTGGAAATGGCCGACTGGCTTGTTCAGACAAACTTGTGCGATTCAGTGAATGGAGTTGTTCGCCTATGTTTTAGTAAAGGCGGTGCTTTTTTGTATATTAATTATGTTTGCATTTAATTTTAATTCAGACGTTGATAATCATAATCGTTAACTTTCTTGACATCTGCTATGATGTTATTTGCTTTCTGTCCTGTGTTATAAACAGTACAGTACTGAAATACTAAACTTTCAATCAGTTGAAAAGGTCTTGTCGCAGGTGCTCAGCCCTGTGAATTCGCTTTGGGTAATTCATCAATCTTCAGATGTGCACACTTGTTCAGCACGAATGGCCATGTTTTGGCCCTATCCAGCGCAAGGCAGTTAATTGACAATTAAAGTTCTACAGTTATTTTCTTAGTGAATGGTGTTTAAAGGGTGTTTACTGTCAGAAGTTCTTGAATTTAGGGAAAGATATTTCGTTATTTATGTTCCTGAAGTTTAAAAAATCATTGAAAAACAATGCTGGTCGGCAGCAGATCAGCGCCGGTAGGATGGTGCCATACGTTAACATTTTGCTGTAGAGTAGATTGTAAAAGTTGTGGCCTTCAACTAAGACCTAATTATAATCGACCTAAATATTAATAATAATGTCCAATAGTAACGAATAATAATAACTAATACAGTATAGTATAATGATGTGTTGAGAATAGAGCATAACCATTAAATTAATTAATAATACTGTATAGTACATCATTCGTCTATACAACATTTATAAACACCTAAATATATATGAAATGAGATGCATTAACGTCTCCGCAACGTACGCCCATCGAAGGCTATATTGTGTTACTGTATATTTTTGCTGAATCGACCATCCTTCACAAAATTAATCAATGATTATATTATATTTACTTAGCTGCCCAGTTGTTAAAGCAAGCTGCCTGTAATCCAGCTATGGGACCGAATCCACCGCCAAGCTCACATATGAACCAAACGTTGAAGTTACAGCAGGAACCTATTGCACGGACGTTGTATCGGCAAGGATTGAGAAATACAGGCATGACGCCAAGTAAATATCAAACTTAGTTTTGTTAATTAGTATTGTCTAAACTTTAGCCTCACTTTGAGAGTAATGTTCTGTCCACACTCCTATTTACATGTATGTGACAAATGTCATGGGTGATGTGACATGTCCATATACAGTACCTATATATGTGTTGAACTTTTTGGTTCCTGAAAGCTATATAGCCTTAGCTTTTATGGTTACGACTTCAGTGTTGCTTATACACTCGAATGCAAAGAATGTCTTGGGTTGATAAATTTCTAAATTTGGAATGGTATCTCATCCAACTGCTTTATTTTAATGTTTAAGTTTATGTGCAATATATGTATATTATATAAATGTAACTTATTATTATTATTATTATTATTATTATAAAGAATATTGGTCCAAAAATCCCTCATCTTCACTGGACTGGTTTTCAATAGTTGTGGAATTCTGTATATGTCAACTTCGCCACAGCTGTTCGCTGAACAACAACCCTGGACAGGCGGTAACCCACCCCGCGGCACCTAAGAACCGAGTTATTCGGGCACGCCGGTACCACAAAAGAAACTGTCACGTTTAAGCAAAGATAAGACCATTGTTGTACGCGCACATTTATGTTGCCGAGGCGAGAATTCTACTTCACTGTAGGCGATCACCCCTGCCTTACTTTACCGGTACTTCCTAATACTCGTGGGAATTCCTTTGCTTACAATCAAATTTTACATGTGTGAGAAAAACTTAATTTCCCACGAGCGTGAGAAAAAGCGACAGGTCCATCACCTCCGAATTAGAGTTTTGATAACACTTAATATACACTCAACTAACATGAAAGTAGTACAGCATATATGTTTTATAATCTGTCGTAAAATCGCCGATATTTTACTGTTAAGCTATATGTTGTGTCCTTGAAAGTTAGAAAATTTTAACCTTGAATGTCCTGGAATTGTCCTGGAAATGTGCTTGTTTAAAAACGTACGAACCCTGTGTGTCGTCACGACGCCAGGTGGCGCTCTCTGTTGTCAACAGACGTTAATTACATATATATATATATTCACAACATATACATACACAGATTATAAAAGGCAGCACTCTGAGACTAACTTTGATGTAATTTATTCAACACAGCTTTCGCTGGCAGTCAATGCCAGCTTCATCAGGTGTGTGAAGTAAAAAATTGAAAACAAAATAGAAAAGAGCTAATGCATACATAATTAGCAAAGGTCTCACAATTAACCAATTAGCAGTCGGATACAATGTAGTATATAATGATCAGACAACATATACATGTAAAAAGATATTTATACTCTTTTTATTTGATATTCACATTTATATCACTTTTTATATTTTATATCTGGTACTGCATTTTCTGGCACTTCGTGTATTTATTTGTTATCGCTTTTATCGCTTCTCCTTTTTTTTTTTTAACCTACAGTATTATAAGTCTAATCTGCCTGCTTTTTTCGTGTGCATAATTATTTTTCATTTATTTTTTATTCTTTCTACAATTCTTACATAGGCGTATTTTTTTCATATAGTACGGTCCGTCATGTGACGATGCCTGTTATAATGAATTATGCCATTGTTAAAAGTGTTGCATCATACACATATAATAATAATTTATTGGAACGTAGACTATTATAACAGTGGTACAGTCAAATGACAGTAACATTAGGATAAGTTTATTTTATTTATTTATTTATTCTGTCTTTCTACTGCATGCACTTTCAGTACTTGTGTACTGTTTTTCAAAGTGGTACAGTTTCATAAAATACAAAAGTTAAAAGAAAAGTAATTAAAAAAACATACATATATATATAGATATCATAATAAAAGTGATTAAGAATTAAAAGAGTTTTTAAAAAATATAATAGACATGTTCATGAAATTTGTTGTTGTTTCGTGTGGAAGTTCATTCCACAACTTTGTTGAACGATACAAAGAAGTTCTCTTGCCTTGACAGTTATTCCATTGTGGTACAAAAAGGTTATTATGAGATTGACTACGTGTACATTTTGAATGGGATTCGATATTAAATTTAAATTTAGATGATAAATAAGATGGTGCATACCCTTTTAAACATTTAAAAGTCATTAAGGCTGTCTGTTCATTCCACCTTACATGTAGTCGTTTCCATGCAAGTGAACTTAACATAACATCAACGGAAGTATAAATATCAACAGACAAAACAATTCTACATAATCTGTTCATTTGAACTTGTAAACAATTAGAATTTATTGAACATTGCAATTTGACCAGACACAACAACAATAATCATAAAGAGGTAATACTAAGGACTTGGCAAGCATTTTAAGAGTATAGGGTGGAAGTAGGTATTTTATACGGCGGATGACACCAATACGCTTAGACAAATTTGAAGATAATTTATTTATGTGGTCTTTCCAAGTTAGTACAGGATCAAAAGTTACACCTAAGTATTTAAAAGAATCAACTCTTTCAATAATATCACCATTCAAATTAAGTGAAATATCTTTAAATTTAGGAAGAATATAGTTTGTTCCAAATAACATTAATTTTGTTTTCTTTATATTAATAATTAATTTATTTTCATTGAACCAGTCAGCTATTTTAGTCAAACAAGAATTTAGTTCTTGTTGTAGAGTGACTGGGTCAGATGAGTTACAAAGTATAGTGGTGTCATCTGCATACATAACAACTTTACAGGACATTACATCAGGTAGAGAATTTACATAAATTAAAAATAGTAAGGGACCCAAAATAGATCCTTGTGGTGCACCAATATTGAGATTCATGAGATTAGACTGACTGGAGTTAATAAAAACCGCTTGTGATCTGTCATATATGTATGATTTAAATATAGCAGCAGTAGCTTTACTATTGTTAAAATTATTTAGTATGAAGTTGGACATATCTATTAGTGTTGTGTTGGTAGAATGGTTCTTTCTGAATCCTGATTGACATGAGTTGATTAAGTTGTTAGTAGTCAAATAATTATACAGTTGATCATGAACTGCTCTTTCTATTAATTTTGAAACTATTGGCAAAACAGAGATTAGTCTATAGTTGCTTGGTTCAGCTTTATCACCATCTTTGTAAATTGGGGTTATTTTGGCTTTTTTCCATTCTGAGGGGAAGATTGAAGAAAACAAAGATAAATTACATATAAATGCAAGAGAATCACAAATCACTGGTGCCGCCAGTTTCAATAATTTACAATCAAGTTCATCAAAACCTGAAGCCTTATTGCAAGAAAGTTTACAAATTTCATCAAATATATAATCAGGTGTAATAAAATCAAATTCAAATTTACTGTTAATTTTAACTTTAAAATCAGAGTTAGTACTAGAGGGATTATTTGAAATTTTAGAGGTAAGTTTATTACCAATTGAGGTAAAGTGCTCATTTAATTTATTAGTTTATTAGATCACCCAGTTGATCAAAATAGCCTTTGCGTAGGGTTTGATAATCATCACCTTATCGCGTTGAAGTGAATTCAAAGAGTATTTAGTTTGTGTGAATGTAGAGAAAGTTGTGGGTGCAGACTCATAGTCCTTTTTAATAAACAAAAAGGTGATATTATTATACTTCAGTAGGTATACATTTTTTAAACATTGTACAAATGTGCCTATTACAGATGCTTCTACCATGCATGACCCATTGAAAATGGTATGGTCTTATTATCAGATCTGAAACCATGGGCCTAGCAGAATATTGTCATTTATATACTGTCATAACTACTATATTTGTTATGTAATTACATTAAAAATACATCTACACATTCACCTTGCACAAACTAAAAATAAAAACAATATTTTATGATAATGCAAATAACATTCTAAATTTTAACTCCAAATTTAAGCTCCTTCTGCTCGACAATACAGTCGAATACTCGTTTGCCATTCTAAAGCATTGGCTTCTAAACTGACTTGCTACTAATTGATTCTTACAAAAATAACATGTCAGACATCATTTATTAACCAATCAATATGATCTTTACATATGTTGTAGGTAATAAATAAAGCTACATGTTGCCACAACAATGCCGAAAATCGGTGCAATATCAGCGGAGCTACTACAAAAAAACTTCCGGCGGTTCACCACATTTCTGCTAAAACAGGTTTTACACGGAAAAATTTGAATAACCACGGTTACAAAATTTAAAAGTCTGACAAGATTTGGCAATCTTATGGATTCAAATTAAGATTACTAAAACTGTTATCGGACAAGTAGAAGTAAAGTTATGAAGAGAAATGTGCGAAAAAATAGCGAAAACAGCTGAAAATCGAACGTTTCGAATTAAATTAAATTAAATGAATTCGCGACGATCAAATTTATCCTAACGAAAGAGCACGTTACAATACAGAATAAATTGTATCCTAGCAACTTAACTAACTGATATTATACCCCAAGGATGCAAAGGTCAGAAAGCCCCTGTGTGATCAAGTAACTCTGCTCCTGTTACACTGGGTACTTATTGGTCAGTGGGTTATTGAAAAGCACACTTATGGGCGGTGACAAAGTTTAGTAATTGAGAGAGTCTCCTTAAAATGGTCGCTGTAAAAACGATTATACAATCACATCAGTT